TGGAATGTGGAACACTCTTGATGTCCGTTAGGATTTTGTTTTCGAAAAAAATTAAAGAATCTTGGGGACTCCAGCTGTTCGAATTTTTGAAAGAATCTGGGTGGCCTATGATATTTTATTTTTGAAAAAGTTTGAAAAAATATCCATAGGGTCTTTTTTAAGAAGGTGAAATAATTTTGGAGGACTCCGTTTTTTTTTTAAGAATGTGAAGGAACTTACATGGCCCTTTTGTGTTTTGCTTTTGAAAGAGTTTAAAAGGATCTTGGGCACTTACTGTTTTTGGAACAATTTGAAAAAATCAGGGTTCTGTCGTGTCTTTTGTCTTAAGAAGTGCTCTATTAAAATAAAAATTAAACAAGCCAAATTCGAATGAAATTTGGATGCGGCAGTCTTAAAACAAAATTGTAGTTGTCGTTCCGTTGAAAAGTCCACGTAACTCCCATACGTTTCACCTTCGATTTTCTTTCTATTAAATAATCCATCGTTAATTACACACACGGAGAAAAATCGAACTCTTCCCTACAATTTCCGGCGATTCCACGTATGTCACGACACCTCTTCCATATTCTCAAGCGGCTCATTATTTTTCGATTAAGTGCAAACATGACCTAATTTACGCGATGGTGCTCTCGCCAAATCCCTTCTAGAACCTCTAATGTGATAAAATATGTCAGGCGTGGTAAAGTTAGTGTTCGGTTAGGATAAAAGGGGATGACAATTGTCGGGTAATCTCCGTGGACTTTTTGCTTCTGGATGCGTGATTTAGGAGGATTTTCACATTGTAATGAGACGACGAAGGTGATACGTAGGAATTCCTTCCTGCAGCTATGGTAACGAGCGTTGCATCAGTTCAAGGTTTGCAAAAGACCCAGTTCTTCAAGTTTCGTTCGTCGCATGGGTGGACCTCAGTGAGGTTGCATAACTGTCTTGGTATTCTGGGACCCTACTGCCTTGGCTGAGTTGCAAATAATGCACAAAATTTTGTTAAAATGTGCCATAAAATGATAATATATGCACACATCTCCGTATTGTATGCTGTGATTGGGAATATGTGATGCATTACTCACCACATATGCAGTGTTTTTTTTTCTTTGATTAATTCTCGACTTATTCGAATTTATTTGACTTAAAAAAAAAAATAGTATCAAAAAATTTTAAATGATCACATTTTGTAATATTCTACGTTTAACACCCTGAGAACACGGTTGTGGCTAGTTTTCGGAAATGACTGTTACATAAGGTTATATTTAAATGACAAACTACTGTTTGTTTTCACACATAAAAACATGTTAAAAGTTTCGCGTTTCTCATGAACGTTACATAATAACGAAACATTCTTCAGCCGGCGTATTTTGGTGAAATTACAGATAGGAAGTGAATTATGATGAGGAACCGGACGTAGTACAAAAAAATAAATCGTCGAGAAAGTTGTTTTTTGTTACTGTGTTAATAAAATATTCCTCTAAGGTGGCTTCTTTCTCTTAATTTGATACTTATTGGAAACAGGAAATTGTGCTCTATGTTATAATAAAATTTATTTTTTTGAGACTCGTGGTTCTCTGGACGATGAAATTTATAAAATAATTGTTTTGAAGATCTTGTGGATAAATATTTTGCGGTTGTGTGTGAAATGCTTGTATGGTTACTTTTTATACGCGCGAAACTAAAGCTATAAACTGCCGTGGAAATTTTGCAAAATTTTTTACAAATTACGTATCAGCGCATTCTTTTTTTGATTAATGCTAATAATAATATACAGAATAATAGGTGTGTTTTGTTTTTTCCAAAAGCATTCAAATATGGCATAAAAATTAACAACCTAATTAATATTTATTTTCAGAAAATATATGTATACGTGAAATACTAATATTATGTATTAGACATACAGGTTTTTTTTTAATTTAATGTTATTTTTATGCGCATAGTTTTGTGATTACGTTAACTTTACAACATTTCGAGATTTCGTAGTAGTCAATTTCAAACTTTTGATGTTTTTTTCCAAAAATTTAGACATCCTAGGTAAAAAACAAGGGCATATTAATAAACCACAAGTGTAAAAACATCTTACTGTATAAAATCTAAGTAGGATTTACTTCGCCAAATTTTGAGATGATTTCATCAAATTCCACACATGGTAATCTTTTATCATCTATAGAATATTGCTAAAATACGTGATACTTTTACACAGACCTACGTTTTCATACTGTGAGTGTTATGAAACGCCGAGAAAACTTAAAGTAGCCATTCGTTAGATGTAAATTAAAAAGAAAAAAAAATAGAAAAAATAGGCCAGAATTGAGTCGAATAAAAGAGTTAAAAGAACGTCTGCAATTTTCTCTGGAACTTTTCAGTTCTCTTGACTTATTTTGCGACCTGTTCCGAAATCTTGGCAAGATATTAACATTAATTTATTATTATTAAGTGATAGCAGAACATGGAAATCTTGGTTAAAGAATGGGTACGCCTCAAAAGATAATGCAGTTAGTGCTCTTGTAATAGATTTTATTTTGTGGAATTGTTAAATTGTTTAATTAACAATCTTATTCGATAAATTTAAACAAGTTTCAAACTTCTTAAAATTTTAATGACGTTTATGTTGACTTTTTTCAGGTCGAATGGAACGTTGCTTTCCACACATAAAAAACGATTTGTTTGAAACTGCCAAAAAGTCATTCTTACTGAATATCCAGTCGTTTTTATGTCTCAAGAAAGAACTAGGCCTTTTGGTGTTCTAACAATAATTATGTTTTTATAAGTAAGCTAAGTGGTCTTAAACTAGATCATAAAATAAGGTAACTGACCTTTAGGCCAGTTCGTAAACGAAAACGAAAGTATTTGATGGGTGCCAGTGGTCGCAGTAAAAAATAAATGAAAGTGCGCGTAACGAAATATGAAGCAAGACGACTTAAAAAATAGTGTAAAAGTTTAGAAATAATTTTGATTTTTTTTGTTTTTGACTGGTATATTTTTATTTGACGTTTAATTTGTTACTTTTTCTACTTATCGCTAATAAGTAATAAATAATAAGCATGACTTCGGGTTACAAATGTTGAGATCAGATTCATTGTTTTAAAATTTTCTTTTCCAGAATTCGGATTTTATTGTTATTATGCGACATTTAAATATCGTGTAAAAAGAATTAAAATATCACGCAATACCTGCTGTGTCATGTAAAAGTATTTTAATGTTAAAAAAAAGTTGGAAAAATTATACACGTTACTTAAAAATTAGTTTGCCTATAGATGTACATACCTATACATATACATAAACATTTTTTATCGACGTGCTAAGTATATGCAATATATATAACATTAATCATTTGTACATATTTAACTCCGTACATTTATATTAATGAATAGCGAGAATAGTTCGAAACGACGAATTGACTTCTGAGTTTTATCCGTGGTTCTATAACAACATTGTACAATTGTGACAACTCATTTAATGTCTAATATCCAGAAGATTATACATAATACAAATTTTCTTCAAAGTGTAGACTACACAACAACTTTGGAAAATATCAAAAAGATATACATATCTACTCGACAAACTGGTCCTTATCAGCCGTGACCTTTAAACTATTTTTCCATAGTGTCGAGCAATTTGACTTACCTAAAAACGACGGGGAACTCGGAAATATTATTTTGCCTTGGCCGTCACACTGACCTGATCTCGATCCCACTGAAAACTTGTGGGTGCGTTGGGAATGTTGGGATCAACAACTCGAAAAAAACCGTTATTATAGTGGTTTATCTTTGGTCAATTAGCAAAATAAGGAAGGAATTTTACATATGTATTTTATCGCATATGCTAAACTTGTAATTATTTCTACAGTTTTAACTACAGAATGACCTAATTTATTTACAGTATTAGTGTTTTTTTTTTACTTTTCAAATTTCAACACCGATAAGGAGTACATTTGAAGGCAATTTGCCAACCACTTGCGTGTGCGTTCCATTTGTGATATAATAAAGTCCGAGTCAAAATCGCTGAAATTTCAAAATATTTCGCTCTCATAATTCACCTAAATTTAAGATTGCTGTTATGAGTGTTAGACAACTAACAAAAATACGTAACCAAAGTAGTTGTGGTTCATTATAATAATGTGAAATTACACTAATTTATTTATTTAAATAGTTGATTTAATTATCTTGATAGTTGTAATTGAAATATGTAGTTATTTATAAATTAAACGAATAATAATTGTAAAACTGCAGCCAAGTTAAATGAACTCGAATTCCCTGACCCACAAGCAATTACTTTAGACGAAACAACAGTCATTAGAAAAATAACGGATAATTTAGAGATTTACTTGTACGACTTTGCTTACCGTTAGCGTAGACTTTCGAAATAGTTTATTGCACTCGTCTCGTGCAGAATCTGGTAGCGCTAGAACATTTGAATAATTCTTCCCCCGAGGGCACACTGTTTTATTATTATCCAAACCAGAACTCGTAAGTGTGTTATTGGTAAATTTAATTTAATCACGAAATGACTGGAAAAAAAATCTTGATCTGTTTTCATTGTAGTGCGATTTCCACGGTTTCGTTATTTCTATATATTTTTTAAACGATGTGGAAATCCAGAGTCTATTTTATGTAATGAATGCAATGCGAATGTTGGTGCCAGAGCTCCAGGCTTGAACCCATCATTGGAAACTTAATTTCCGACGATCTATTTATAACTTTCAAAATAAATATGTAGGGTGTGCTAGATATTCTTTCGGGATTATAGCTTCCCTACTAGTTACGATATTAGCGTGAAATAAACGTCAATTTTAAGGATACATTATTTGCGGTACAAATATGTAGTTAGAAGCGGTGTCAACACGGAAAACGCCAAGCATGCTCTGGAAACGGTCGAGTCGAGAACGTTTTAGTGATGACTGCTGATGAGGCTCGGACGACAAAATATAATATAATAATTAATATAAATCATTTAAAGATTTATTTGTTTAATTATTTTTAGATTCCACGAATTAATTCGATTTTTCTTTTCAGACCATGATTAACATGGCCTTCTGCTGGTTGATCCTCGTGGGAACGGCCGTCCAGAAGCTGGTTTTCGGCGAGCTAAGGGTCTCCGAGCAGCAGCACCTCAAAGACAAATTCTGGAACTTCGTATTTTATAAATTCATTTTTGTGTTTGGAATAATAAACGTTCAGTACATCGACGAGGTGCTGTTATGGTGCTCGTGGTTTTCCCTCCTGGGATTTCTGCATCTGCTTTCGCAGCTCAGCAAAGATAGGTTCGAATACGTAAGTTTACAGAGATATAATAATCGAAGCGGAAAAAATATGAGGATCTTTTTTTTGCTTTCAGTTATCGTTTTCGCCGACGACGCCGTTGTGGAGTCACGTGAAGCTGCTGGCCTTATTGGGTGCCATTTTCGCACTGTCAGGTTTCATGTTGTTGGTGTCTGTCTTTGTGGGGTTCTTCGGGGGATTTAATACATTTGCTTTCATGTCTGCTGAGGTATGTAATTTTCTTATATGTCGTATGCATGTTTTATTATATTGGGCGGCGGCGGGTGGAGCGGCGGGCGTATTGGACTTATTGGAGTTGTTTAGTATTTATCGGAGGAGGATATGTCACATCCCTGCGAGGGACTTTGTGTATTTGTCGATATTATTTGTATTAAATTAATTGTAACGTAATGATGTCTTACAACTGTGTAGAGATGAAGTAGGGAAGATACGTAGAACTTATTTATAGTTTGAAGGAATGACTTTTGTGAGAAAACTTCCAAGGTTTATTAAATCGTTTAAAAGTTATCAACATGAATAACGTAGTGCTGTAATTTTTTAACGAAGTTTATTCATCAAAGCTTTATAAATTGTATATACAAGAGAATATATACGGATTGTTTTTTTTTTTTTTTTTGTAGAAATGTTATTGAAATGAGTTACGAACGGTTTTACCTTTTGAAATTTATCTTTATAAAAAAGTTTGATTGGATTTAACGACTTCGACGTGATTAAAAGAAGAAAAAATGTAGGGCTCAAAGGGAAACCTAGAAGAACTTCGAAATCATACGTGTGTAGTCGTTTAAAAAATCCATACAATTAATTTTAATTTTTTTTTGATAAGTTGATAACAGAAAGCAATAACACGTATGACCCAGTGCGTATTATTATTATTATTATTTTTAATCATTACATATTAAATAATATACATCTAATATTCGGAAATGTTAAAAACATTATAAGAACAACTAACGATGTTTTTCCCTAAAGGCGGGCGTATTTATTTGGTAAAAATAATTTTATTTTTAAGTTTTTCTTAAACTGGCAACGAAAATATCAACTTTTCACATCCGTAATTGCATTTTTATACCTCTGGCGCCAAACCAAAGAATTTTTATATGCAGTTGTTATTCCGATTCTCTGAACAGTTTAGTTACCTTACTGAAGCCAAAAAACATAGGAAGTCAATTGTATTTCTGTAGGTACCTTTTTTCTATAGTTTGACCCCGTTTTCATGTCTAACTTATGAAAGAAAGCAAATTTTTGTTTGAGTAGGCGCCACTAGTATATATTTTTTATTTTTCTTTAATTCTCAACCTGTGCTGTTTGTAGATATCTGTCGCTTTAAATTTCGCTTGTCTTAGGTGCTTTGATGCTAATATTTCTCAACTATTTCACTACGTTCATTACTTTATACAAAAAGTGATATTTATTGCGTTTTTTAGAAGACACCTTAATGAGGGTATCTTGGTAGTTTCACCATTTAAAGAGATCAAAAGTCGTATCCTCATGTGATTATTATTTTAATTTGCCAGAGTGATGCTTTTTTCAAAAAGATTTTATTATGTTTGAATTAAATAAATTAGACGATTATGGAAAGCAAACAGCTACAGCTCTTCGTTAAAATGGGAGCCTTCCATATGGTATTTTACTTTTTAAATAAGTTGATTTACATAAAAGTGCATTTATTGAAAACTAAACATTGAAAATGCTCTATATCTGTTCGCGTGAATGTAACGATAAAAGGCGAAAACAGTCGAATCAAACATACTTGTTTTGTTTTCCTTCACTGTTTCTGAGCGTATCAGCTAATTGCCACAGCTCATCCAAAATTATGGAATCAACATTGCATTTTTACTTCTCGAGCGTAAGCAAAGGAAGTATTGTAATAGGGTCTATCGGGCGACTGGCTACTTTAATGTTTAATCGACATTTCATGACTCCTAGAGTGAGACAAAAACTGGTCTCTCGTTGCCGTCTGTCTATCTTTTGTCGTCGATGTCGATTTTTGTTAGACAGATATTCGCCGAAACTAGCAGACCGATTGTTGTCAAATTTTGTATGTATATGTATTAGGAATATCATGTAATGGTAAAACACTAACCAAAATTTGGCTAATCATTCCCACCAATAATTTCATGACGTTATCTCAAAAGTGTCTAAATTAAAATAATTTAAATGTTATCCTACACTTGTGGTGGATGAATCTGCTTTGAATTTTCCCCTAGCCAAATTTACGCAAAAAAATTCACAGAGTACATATATTAAACTTGTACGAACAATGCCGACCAAGACGCTCCGTGGTGCGGGCGAATACGCGTCCGTATTCGGACTTGCACCTCGAGAAGCGGTCGCATATTTCTTTTGCACTGTGTGTATTATCTGTATTATTTTTACTCTATAGTATTATAATATAATTTTTCAAAGAAGCTTCAATTTTTTTTTATTTTCAGTTCAGTGCGTAGAATTCATGTAAAAAATTCCACCAAATTGTCTACTTCCTACATTTTTTGGTGATTTTTATGTGAGTTTATGCCAATGATATATTTTTTTGGACAAGTTCAAACGACGATAAAAATAGTTGCATGTTCTACTCCAATCCGAAAACTTGTTTCTCTTCTGGAGTAATAATAATCTTTTTTCTTAGAACTTTAGAAAAACCATAATCACGTAATATACAAATCAAAATCGCAATTTTAGAACATGAATTGCGTGTACACTCTCAGAACGTTATTTTTGTATTCACTAGAATTTAATGATGTGATTATGAGGGGTTGGAGAGCGGTGAAATTTTAAAAGTACGTCTCTGGCACGAGATCCTACCTGCTATTGGTACAGTGTCATTTAAGTTCTGCTTATACAGTTATTACAGTGGATTATAATTTCATTGGACACAAATAACGTTGTGAGAATATTGTCATATAGATTTTTTGGGACTTCATCCCTAAATTAACAAGTTTCTATTTGTCATGTCTAGGTGAAACCTATATGTATTTAATAATTTTGGATAGACTAAAATTGTTTAATATTTTAAGATATAATACTCGTAAAATAGTTGTTTCTCAAACATACAATATTTTAGTTATCCTCTAGGCGTGACTTTTCTAAGTTATATCGAGCATATTGGTATCTATACACCCATGATATTTCACTACAGTTGGTGTTTTACTTCATCAGTATCAGTTATGTTTTGACTGTTGAGATTTTTGTACTAAAATGCATAACTATTTTTACATAGTTTAGCCATTATAATACTGCTATCACCACATTATGTATGTATTGACGTATGTGTTTGATAAAAGGCGGAAACATGGTCCATGTAATCAGTACCTGGCGAAAATTATTATCTTTTTAATATAGTCGTTGCAGTAGCCACAACTTGTCAAATCCTTGTTATCATGCATAAACGCACATAAGCGCACTCAGATAAGGCTTCATTCCGCCATTCGGTCTCGTTTTCGTTCACCTCGACATTATTCCACTATACATGCTGTTTACTTTTACATTATTCATGTGCCACAGCCGACACTAGAATCGAACTTTAAAATGACCACGCCGCATTAACCCTTCGGTAACACCAACAATCAACTATTCTTAGCCGGTTATATTTGTGTGTAATTGATTCGTTCGATTCGTCTTTAGTGGTCACTTGTGTTCTATAAAAAGCCAATAGTGTGCGCCAGAATCATTAGAACACAAATTCATGACAATAAAGGACACCGATGATAGTCAAAGTCTAGGTCCAAATATTTGCTCCCGTGAAGGTGTGCGTTTATTATATTACGCATGTACGGGGTCGTGGGATACAATGGTTTTCTCAATAAATCAGAAATTAGAACATTGACGTCAATCAGCCCAAGACGTGGACGTTTTATTTCATTTTAACTGCGAGAGTGATTGAGGAGGTTTTAATTTTAATTCTATTTTCGTTGAAATGACAGTTCGAAGACGGCGTTGCTGAATTGAGTTTTAATGCGCATCACCAATTTTAAATTGTTAAATTAATCGATCTTTTGTATAGTACAATCTGTAGAGTTTTGTATATAAAAGTTCCGTCGCCCCTGAAACAGTAACGAATAAAACACAAATGTGGTCTCGGCCCATCGGACGAAACGTGTAGTTATCGTTGTCATCAGTTTATTAACCCAGCCTAAGCGTGCAACACTCCCTTAACTAATAACCGCGGTTTTGGTTTGGAACCCAATCTTTCAAAGAAAACAAATCATAATCAATTAAAGGGAAATGCAAATTTTGTTAATAAGTTAATATATAATATAACGTCAGAATTTTGTTGATGCAAGGAATTTTAAATTAAATTTTTTAAATTAAAAACAACAAACCACAAGCATTTATCTAATGCTATGATTTCATTTGCTAAAAAATAACTGTATAAAAAGGTACTGCGTTTGATCTGCACGCTGTAGTACCTGGAACATTGTAAACTTACGGGCGTGATTTCCAACTCGCCGCTACCTCACTTAAAATTCAAGTATTGTTTTTAAGTACTCACTCCGTCCGAAAATATGGTATACATTTGTAACTTTATTTAGAGCTTCTTTTCCCTCACGTCTAAGTTTGGATTTATTACGATGAAGAATTTTATACTGAAAATTAAATAAATAAATGAATTAGATTATTATAATATATTATTATTTATTATAATAAATAATTTATTTAATTTAATTATTCTTTCTAAAATCTTTTATTTTTTACATTCAGCGGGTGTCGATTATTGTTATTGTAGTAATTTTCTTGGTCACTTTTTTAACAGAAACGAACGTAGATCTCAGTCCACTACTTATATGATATTCCATTATTATATGTATAAGTTGCATACAAAAGTACTTGATTATAATTTGCTGGTCATCACTCGTTAATTATAATCATGTTGTAAAATGTATAGGTACCATATTTTCGGACAGAGGGAGTATGTTTTAAATGATAATAATTAATAATTAACAAGTACTACAACTATAAACATGTTTACTAACAACCGTCTCAATGTCAAGTTGTCATGCCAAAATTTTGAAAATCGTAATGATAACTACAGTTTGGACGACTTGAAATCTAGAAGCACTCTTCCGTGTAATTTCCGTATGCACTTAAAGGCTAATTGGTCTTACCAAGTGAAGCAGGCAGAGATTCGTTATATTCGAAATTGTACGTTACCGCAAGAGCATATAAAGGCGACCCGATTTTAATATCGGGACCTTGTGAAAGTGTTGTTCATGCAAAGCGGTTAGTTAAAAATGCATGTGTTGTTTTATGCATATGCACTAGTAGTATTTACTAAGGTGGTCGTATTTCAACGGTTCTGTAATAATGTGTTCATCGATGAAAATACATACCTCCATTGTGTTTATTTTTATTTCATCTGCCACGAGGCTGCCAAGAGAAAAACACTTTTTCCTAGTTTTTGTTGGGAGGCAGAATGCAAATAAACATTGTGTAGAATGTTATAGACGTTCTTTGTAAATTTTGGCGACTTTTCTCATTCTGCCAATATAAAATGATGTTTGTGTTTTTTTCTACAGTGAGTAGTACTTTTAAATACATGTTTTAGACAAGTACCCTATTTTTTGTCGTAACTCAGATATTAACAAATTTTTATTTTGAGCTCATGATTGCGTTGGTTCAAAAAATATATACAGTTTCAAAATCACTACAAATCGCTGAACTCAGGTAGTATACAGAATTGAAGAAAGAAATACATTGCTGAGTGGTCAGTAGTAATGTTATTAGAGATTTTAACTAAATTCTAAATCTGTAAAAGCTTATTTTGCTGTATAGTATCCTATTAAGTTGGCTACATCTTAAACAGACATTCTGTTTCTGAAGTAATGCACGTTTAAAAAACAGTCCTATTCATATGTATAGGTAATATACCGGAATATTTTTTTAAGTCTGAACATATGTATATAGGTTTAGTCCTTAGATTCTTTTTTAAAAAGCACGCATCAATGCGTTGGAAGTACACAACCAAAAAAGAAAAAACTAAATGTCAACTTGCCTGAATTGTTTTAAAATATTTCACAAAAATGTAAACAATACTCGTTGCGTCAAATATAAACACAAAAGGAGATAAATACTTACGCTAAGAAAAAAACCCAGAGTCTTCATTAACTTTATTCCAACTATTTTGACATTTCTTGTTCTGCAAAATCAGGTCTTCCAATGCATTGATGTGTTCTTTTTTTTAAATAACAAAGAATTTTTGGTGTATGTTAGATTTAAAAAATGCTCCGGTATGTTGAAACCCCCCAGAATTTTTCATTCTGTCAAATATCTCTACTACATAGGATTAGAAGTTTGTAAGAAAACATTTAATTTTGTAATGACCGTTCAAATAAAAACGACGTCAAGTTGGCTTTGGAAATATAAACGGATCATTCACTAAGCCCTAAATTCCCATTTACAAAGCCAGCTTGACGTCGTTTTTATTTGAACGCTCGTTATTTGCAGTGGTCGTATTTCTTATAAAATTACGCGGGTGTATTGTTAGTTGCATAATCAAGAGCAGATAGTGTCTGTTCATTATGTAGAATAAACGAGGCTGCAACAAGTTTACTAAAATATATAATAAATTATAAACTTTTTGAGAAAAGTTGAATTTAATAATGTTGTTATTCAACACGGTGTTAAATAATTGTTCGTATGGAAACACAGTTGTGATTATTTTTTTGCACAATAGCAGTTTAATGTATAAATCTTGATTTTTTTAATAACATTATATGGATTTTGTGTATTATGTTAAAAAATCTAATTAACTATTCAATACTTACCACACTTTTCGAGCACAACCAATGTGTTGCGCGTCAGTGTTTTTTTTTTCTTTGAGAACTAGTTATTTATTTTTGAGGTATATTTTAACTTAATATATCCATTGGAAGACCACATGGCATAATTTCAAAATTATTACATAAGCCATGACGTCAACATTTCGATCAAGAAGTAAATCTGAAATTTCATGGTAATCAATTCTATAGTTAAAGTAGATAGATAAATAAAAAACGGGAACCGACATTTTCGTAATTTACAACCCGCAAAACATAAAATTTGACGTTCGCTACAATTTCATTTTATGTTTTGTTAAAGTAATAATAAGCAGTTTCTTAAAAATAAGAAAGATAATCTGAAAAAAACAAAAACAAAAGGGGTAATTGTCGACGCAACCTGAAGTGCTACTTTTTTAATAAAGCTTTATTTAACTGTGGAAAATCATGTAACACCGAATTGAAACTTCGGTATTAATAGTATTCGTATATCAGATATACCATATATTTTGAAAATATTTAAAATTACATACTATAGGATTCATCTCACCTGCAAGATTCATTAGTTTGTAAAAAATTTTCTAAACTGGTAAAAGTCGTTCGTACACAAAAATAATAAATGAATTTTAATGAAGAACCACTGTGTTGTTTTTAACTAAACAACAAAAGCAGGAAAAGGAGTGAATGTAGAAGTCCTATTTAATACCTTTGTGTGTTCCATTGAACGCTGTGTGCTCTCTTACTCGGTTGAAAGCAAGATGATTACATTGAAACGAGTCGTCTTACACGATCTCTCAAAGTAAGATTAATTAAACAAGTTAAAAAAATTAAATTGCTAGATTGAAGCAATTAAAAAATTGTTGGATAAATAAAGCGAAAGCGCAAAACAAAATCATATCGATATAATTAATACAGATGAAATACAGGAGTTATTCACGCAAAGCTTCAGGCCTAAAAAAGTTCAAATTCAACTCACAGTACAAGTGTATAATAGTGTAATATTTACTATATGTTTCTTTTTAAGTGAATGATTTGGAAATAAATCTCAATTTTTAGGTAAAAAGCAAAAACAAACAAAATCAAAATCAGAGCTCGTTACGGTGTCTCCTATACAGAAAATGTTCTGTATAGCAGAACGCAGTTGCCGCATTTTTTCTGATCTGACCTAATCAATTTTCAGATAATAAGAGATATTGGTAATAAGTGTGTTCTATTATATTAGTAACAACTTTAGTATACTAGTTAACTTGTCTTTAATAACTTTTACCGCATATAGGTCCTGTGACACTTGGTATTTTAATAAATGTCAACTTTTTTTCTCTTTTGTTATGACAGTGTATGAAAGTATGAAGATATCTAAATATGTATATGTAAAATAATTCTTTATTAATACAAGTATGTTTTTCTTTTCTTTTTCAGGTGGTTCTGTTGAGCATCCGCACCCTCCACGTCATAATTAGATACGCTCTCCACCTCTACGACATGCGTCAAGAAGGCTCATCCTCCGTAAGCACAAACGAGGAAAATCGCGTATGGGAGAAGAGAGGCCCCATCGCCTACTACACAGAACTAGGGTTCGAACTCACAGCGCTAATCATCGACTTCGTTCATCACCTGCACATGCTGGTGTGGAGCAACATATTTCTGTCGATGGCTAGTCTAGTCATTTGCATGCAGTTGCGATATCTTTTCCACGAAATACAAAGGAGATATAAAAAACACAGAAATTATCTCTGGGTCAGAAACCATCTGGAACAAAAGTAAGTCGAAATTTTATCACTCCAATAAACAGAATACCGAGTTTCATCTTTCAGTTATCCGATGGCGTCGTCCGAAGAACTCGTAGAGAACTCCGACAATTGCGCAATCTGTTGGGAGAAAATGGAGTCGGCCAGGAAGTTGCCGTGTACACATTTGTTCCATAAGTAAGTGTAGATTAATAAATTACTGCTATTACTTCTGAAAATTTTGAGGTGACCTCATCAAATAATTTTTAGTGGGGTATTGTTTTACAATCCACACTATTAAAATGTCACTACAATTTATGTTACGTATGTAAAATGTTTTCCAGTACTTGCTTGCTGTCATGGTTAGAACAGGACACCTCCTGCCCAACGTGCCGCCTAGCCCTCAACATCCAGAATCCATCGACCTCAAGAATAGATCCTCCAGACTTACAAGTCGACGTGCCGCAACCGCAGCGTCGGCAGCTCAACCACTTCTTTCACTTCGACGGTAAATCCCACTGACTTCACCAACCCTAAAACTAAAAGTGAGTTTCAGGTTCGAGATATGTCTCGTGGTTGCCGAGTTTCTCGGTCGAGGTGAGCCACAATCAGCTGATGAGACCCGAGGCTGCGCCTGCGTCGAATTCTCAACTAGATGCAATGGCGCGGCAGGTAGGATTTTTTTTACAATTTGTAAAAATGTATACTCATTTTTTTTTTTGTAGGTTCAGCAGTTGTTCCCACATATACCGATTACTACGATCATCAATGACCTTAGGGTGACTCGATCTGTGGAAATTACTATCGAGAATGTGTTGGACGGGAGGTTGGTGGCGCCTGCGATGTACAGGGAACCTGATGTTGTGCCATCTGCGAACAGACCGATGTCGGTTTTGCAGACTAACTGTGATACAAATTTGCAGCAAGAGAGGAACTGGGATGAGTTGAGCACAGATCCAGTTGAAACGTGAGTGTTTTAGAATATTTTTCATTTAATTGTTATTCCCGTTTATTTTTGAAATTATTTGAGTTAAATACGTTTTTATTAAAATTTCCATTCAGAACTTGTCTATTTACGTAAAAAAATATACCAAATATTTCAGGACCTTTCGAACTATTTGTTGGTTTCTAGCTGTTTACTTTTTTCTAATTTAACGAAATGAAGTAGTTTGTTCAAGTTTAAGGAGGATCCTCAAAACTTTACATTCACAAAATTCTAATTATAAAAGAAAATCTGTATCCTCAATTAAGTTTACTTGAAAGTAGTTTTTCAACAATACCAGAAGGAATACAATTTTTGTAATCTCAAAACTTGACATTGTCTGTAGCGTTTGAATCCACATTAATATTATGTGAAATCTATGATTTGACCCCTATACAATGAATTTAAAATAAAAATTGATACAGTTGCTACAAGAAATCCCTACTTCATGATTTTATTTTTTTTTTTACATATTTTCAAGCAGTTCAGACTTCCTCCTTGTTTCATGTTCACTCCAGGGGCAAGTTTTGACCTACAGAATTCTTTTTTCAAATTCAAAGACTTCGAACATCGAAGATATCGTCTTAGATGACGACGATTATTTTTTTCACTTTGAAAAAAAAAACGTTACTGTTATCTCCACAAAATCCAAAAACAATATAGTGCTAATAGTGTATGTATTTTATAGATTTCTTTGCATTAATTAACCGTTCTAAATGTCAAGCTTCAGTCTTTTCAAATTACTAAGATATTGGAGTCGAACAGGTAAACAGGGATATTTACACCTAGTTTAAATAAACAGCAATCTCTTCCGCTTTCATGATTTTGTCATAATAAATAAATTATTATAAAATGTAATAGATAAACTTGTTGTTAGGAGAACTCACTCTTCGCCCTAGCGCTCATATTGTATTTTTCTACTCTTCTTCTTCTGTTTTCCAGAAGTCCATAAATTTGCCTAGATATACAATTACTTTTTTATTTTGTTGTAAAAATATTACACATTATGATTTCATTATTTATCATCATTTACCATCAAGTACCTAGTAAGAAGTTAATCTTTATAAGGTTGAAATATAAGGTGATTCCATAACCCACTCAACTTCCAGACACTTGGGTGCCGTCTATAATAAAATTTATCTTTTCATTTTAAATGTTTTCAACGTTGTTAAGTGTATTTTCGACTGCAGTATCATCTAGTCTCTTTAATAAACAAACCAGGTTTTAAAAGTAAAGATTCATGATTTGGGTGCTAGTGCAATAAATTTTCAAAATTCTATATTTCTAAAAGTTCATAAATCATTTCGCACTTTTTTGTTACTTCATACTTTGAGAAAAGAATCAGTTTTCTTTTATGTTATTATTGACTTGAAACTGTTTATCCTAATTCATGGAGTTTTCATGTTTAACATTTTTTGGACTTTGCAATTATTTTGATTTAGGCGGATCTGACTTTTTGTAAATAACAAATACGAATTTTTGTTTTGACTATTAAATTTATTTCGATTAAAATAAGCTACCAATAAATAATAAAAAAATTAAAATCACCCAACCTTAATAGTCGTACCTCTTGATCCAAGTGGCAAAGTTTTTATTTTTCTGCGCCATCTCTTTGATTTCTCTGTTCAGTTGTTCGCTCACGTCAGCCTTGGAAGCCACCAAATACTGAAAAGTCCGCCAGTCGTGATTCGCCAAAGCTATAGACAAACCATTTTCCCCGGATCTATCGTCCGCCAGGATTGCAAACACCGGACTTTTCTCCTTTTTTCCGTCTTCCTCATTCTCCATATCCGTAGCCGAACCTTTTCGACTACTCTTTTCGCTCTTCTTACTGTTCTTACTTTTTTTCTTACCGTTCTTTTTACTTTTCTTGTCTTTCGCATCCTCGGAAACCCTTTTTTGTATGATTTTTTTGCGCACTTGGTTCACGTCGTCTCCATTACGCACCAGACACTTCACCATGAGGAAATTTTCCTTTTGCACGGCTCTTAAAAACGGGCTGTAACCCGCGTAGTCATAGACGTCCGTCGTTGCGCCTTTCCTGATCAAGTAATCCAACATGGCGCAGTTCCCAAGCTCGATGACTCTCATGATGGGGTAGGTTCTGTTCAGATCTTGTTTGTTCACGTCTGCGCCGTTCAATACCAAGTGCTTGACGAAATCTAGGTTGCCGCTTTCTAGGGCCTTTATCAGCGGGGTCGTGCTTTGTTGGTTCGCGCACATGTTTACTTCTGCGCCGTTTTCTATCAGAAATTTCGCCGTTTCGAAGTTGCCCATTTCGATGGCGCAAAGTAGAGGGGTTTTCCAGCTCTGGTTGGGCCTGTCGATGTCGGCGCCGCGTCGTACCAGCTCCTTGACGATTTCCAGGGTCCCGGCCTCTGCTGACTTGATTAATGGCGTGTACCCATTGTCATCTTCGAAGTCCAAACTAGCCCCTTTGTCAATCAGCAGCTTGATGATATCAAGGTTGTTCAAAGTCACGGCGTCCACGAGGCAAGTGTGCATGGTGAACTTGGCCCCATTGTCCAGGAGGAGGTTGATCATGGGCACGTTTTGTGTGGATACGGCCCACGATAAGGGCGTGGCACCACTTCTGTCGGGCTTGCAGGTGTTGGCCCCCACGGATATTAAATGCCGCGTCATTTCTAGCTTGTCCTTCTGGATGCAGAGGATCAAAGGAGTGGTGCCATAGCGCTCCGTCATGTTGATATCAGCACCTCGGGAGACGAGAATTTTGAAAATTTCCAGTTGATCGTAGCGGATGGCCATGGTCAAAGGCGTCATTTTTCTCATTCTTGGTCCGAGGGCGAACGCGTTAATGTTGGCACCGTGGTTGAGAGAGGTCTGCACCAGGGTGACGTTGCCTTCGCTTACCCCTTGGGAGAGGGCGTCGTTCCATTGTTCGAGAGTCTAAAAATGTCGAGCGGCTGTTATATAGAATGCGTTTTTGTTTCTCATACTTGCCTTTGACATATTTGTTGGTTTGCCCCAACGGCAACCTTTTTTTTTTTTTATTTGTTTGAAGTGTGTTTCATGGAAGCTACCAAGCTCTAATGATTTCTAAAATTGATGAAAAGTGAGTAGAAATTGACGTTGTTTTCATTCCGAGAAGCAATAAAGCAATTACAGATCAGATAAAGAACGTCAAGTTTTTGCATTAAAGGTATTTTTCGTCAAGTGATAAGATTCTGGTTATCTATAGTTTTATGGGTTGATTGTAATCTTGAGAAGTACGCTGCATCCGGAAATTTCTCATTAATTTGAAATTTTTAAGTAATTATTGTCATTTCATCGTATCGTATTTGGTTGTTCAAATTATCTTTTTTAAAAAATAACATCTTTGATGAATCTGTTTGTTTACTTTTTGTGTTATCATCGAGATATTTGTTTTAAGCCAGAGCCCACTTCATACACATTCGGTATTTTATGCGCTATACAAAACTGTGCATGTAGAAAGCACAACTACTTTGGGGACTGTGTTTCAGGACGAACAAAGTGTGATCCCAATTGCAGTTATTTTTTTTTCTGTACTTATGAATGATTTAACAGTAAAATCTATAAAAGAAAATATATTTCACAGAGTGGAAATACTATAAGTAGTACATGTTCTCTGATATTCCATTAATTATTACAGATGGAAAAAATTCAGAACAAAGTATGCGCGGCTCTTTTTAATAATAAGACTTCTTTTTCTAAAACCCAAAATATATACAAATTTAGTTAGTTTTATTAATGAAACACTTTCTGTATTTTTACATGCCCTGATCGACATCTTAGCTTCTACAAACATATTTTATTTTTGAAATGCTAATGTGGCACACATTACCAGGTTATATTCCAATTTTCCTGACTTTTGTAACTTCACAAAGAATCACCGCCGCGGTCCGACGGCTATGGGTTTTTTCGAGGGCTTTCTAGTATGTATCAAATCATTGTCAGTGATGGCGGCTGGGCGGCGTTCTCTAAAGAAAAGCATGGAAGCGGAAATCGCGATGGGTACTCCGGAAAAACCTCGATCGCGAAATATCTAGATAGGAAGAATGGGTTTAAATAGAGCCACGATGCATTCAGTCACCGAGAGAATCCAGTCAAGTTGCACCGGAATTATTTTGTACATAATCGCTGTGTCGTGTAAATTTGTGTTACTGAGAAATAAGTTGTCGAGTTTTACCTACGCCAATTTTTAATTACTCGATCATCATAACAGTATTATAATTACATTGTAGAAAATACCGGATGAGCAACAAAGTTTGAAATAAGGGGAGACTGTGATCAGCACACTAGATAGAGCTAATATTTATTGGAAAATGCAGTACTCAAAATACTGAGATATGAGTATTTGAAAAGTGTAAATATTTTATATTTTTTTTTAATCACTGCGTACTAAAACCGAATTTTATTGGTACTGACCTTTTTGTGGCGTCTTCTCATTGTATTTCCACTGTACTGCTTCAAATGTGTATATATAATACTTGATGTGCAAATAAGCATTTTTTATGATACCGTTAAGTTGATCAGTAATTAACATCGGCGTGGGTAAAACTCAACAATTTATTCTACAGTAATACAAAACTGCAGCGATTATGTACAGAATAATTCCGACTTGACTGGAATGGATTTGACAGGACTCTATTTCTCTCAATGAATGGACTCGACTGCTCGTTCTCGATACGTTCTTCTAGAGAATTCGCGAACGCCGCTTTCGAGGTTGTTCAGAAGTCCGCCATCGAGACTTTCGGCACCGTATTTTTTTACGATAAACCCATATAAACGAATCTGTCATGCTATCAATTTTGAGTTAAGTTTACTTGACAAAATTTTGAGATGTTAGAAATTTTGGTTAACGTTTTACGGTCTATACAACAATTCTAAATTATTTCAAAATTTCAAAGTAATTCCTTGCAGTGTTTCAAAAATTAACTGTTTAATAAAATCGTCAACAGACATACAGATGACACATGCGACATGAACAAACTATTATTCTTACCCTTGCTTTATCTTATACAGTGCATCTTTTTTAAAAGTGGCCATAGGGATTCCCATATTAAATTTTATACCCCATGTTAACTTATGTTTGAGTACAGATTCAGAGTTGAAATTTTTACTAGATGTAACTTGGGTTATCTTTCGTCGATTTTATTAAAGGTCATGTTTGAAATTAAAGGATATTTCTCTAAAAAAATTAAAATATTTGGATATTTTTGTCGGTAATGTTGTAGGCAGCCATGTAAAAACAGACATTTACCTGACGTTTCTAAATTTTGATTACTAATCGAACGAGTAATCAAAATTTAGAAAAATGGTTTTTAGTGACCGAAATTCGTCAACATGCCGCAGTACACAATTAAAGAAAAAGTACAAATGGTCACTGATGGATACATTAATAAAGCCTTATCGACAATAGATAAACTGCGCAAAATTTTGCTGCAGCGTTCCCACATCGTTCCGTACCCGGCAAGAGCACATTTTGAAAATTTTGTGGCAGATTTATAAACACAGGTTTTTTCGATCGTGAACATTAAAAACGCAATTTCAGTGAAATTATCTTTTATTTTCTTCATTTATGTTTGAACTCCATCATTCTGTTTCTTTTATAAAAACTGCAATAAAGGTATTTAATGATGAAATTAAAATTATGCTGTCAAAAATGACAAGTAAAAATGATAAGTCAAAACCTTCTATGATGTACCAAAATTTTGTAATCAAAATAATTTTTATTTTTTAAAGCACAAATTAACAAATTACTGCAAAAAGTTGTAGTGGAAATTAAAGTAGAACCTTAAGCCTATTTTCTTCGCAAAAATCATCTCCGGGTTTTCACCCTAACGAAAGTTAACATGGGGTCTAAAATTTAACATGGGAATCCCTATGGCCACTTTTAAAAAAGATGCACTGTATATGTATATGTGCCTAGGCATACTAATTTCAAAAGTAATAAGCATTCACGTTCGGTAGAAGTAGCTGACAGAAATTTTTCTGTGGTTAAGTTGCAATCTTAAGATCACTAGAAATTAAAGATTGGTATCAACTGTCTAATTTTCTAATTCAAATGTCAAATCTGAATTGTCTGGAAAAAAACGAAGTTTTTCTAATTTCAACACGCTTCGTTTGAAGAAAATCCTTAAATACAGCGTGGAAACAATTTCCACAAAAGTAGTCACGAAAAAGCGCATTTTAAAAGAAAAGAAACAAGAAATATTTCGTGGTTTTGAAAAAATTACTGGAAAAAATAGACAATGCTTTGGTAAAACAGAAACAGTTAAACTGGTGGCAGAAATATTTTCAGTAAAGTTCGCTAGTGTTCTCGAGTGTTTTTCGAATTTTAAAATAATACCGATACAACGGCGTCGGTGCCGTTAATATTATACTCAGAATCGGAAAGACGACTGCCCAGATTTATATACCTACATGCTTTGTTGGGTCCGCTCTACAATTGGTTTTTTAGTTTTATATAATCGTTATTGTTTTATAAAAGGGAAAATACTCGGCTTGGAGAATAATTGTACGTAATACGTACACGTATAAATTTAGGTTTCCGAAGGCGAAGGTTTTCACATTAAATAGGTACCAGAATCAAATTTCTAAAGCGGTATCTCTAATTGCGTGATAGTGGTGAAGATTTACTTTTCATTTCCTTGGATGAGACATGGATATACCAAAACGGATCCATGGTAAAATTGCGGATCCATGATGATGACATCAAAGCTTGTCCTCCTAAAATAACTAGTGAAGGGAAAAGATTCACAATTTTGCATGTGGGTTGCTCTTTGGGCTTTTAGAGGGATGCAATTTTCTCCTGGATTCAAAAGTAGATTCAGCAGATCACCACAAAACCATCACATTTTCGATATTTGCCATTTACTTACTTACATGTCACATTTTTGATACCTACTTTCTGACATTCCAGTTATACATTATACACTGGAACAATTATGTCCGCAGTTACACAGCTTAAAAAAAAAAGTTACCAAATCTAGTTACATCTACCGAACGTGAATTCCTTATAGGTAATAATTTATCAAAACAGTCACTGAACGTGGGTTTTAATGACATCTTTGATGTTTTCAAAATGTGAAACAAAAAGCGTATCTTGACCCTAAAAATAGCAACGAGATCATTTATTGCCTTTATCGTTTTTTTTTTTTTATAACGTTTCCTTTTATGGCGATAATAATTATTGTTCTTATTAAAAAAAGTAGAAATAAAATAAAAGTCAGATCTAAGTAATTTCTATTTAATCGCGGAAATGTAGTCATGATGGTGTGAAACAATTTCGAAATGTGTCATATCACAGGTTTTTACTTTTTCAAGTTTTTAATAAAGTGATAAACAGTTACTATCACACACCTTAAGTATTTAATTGTTTATATATAGCAGCAGATAACACAGGCCTACAAAAAACAAAAAAAATTTTGGTGCAGCGTTTTTTGTATTTGTCATCCATAAGATAGGTACAGTACAGTATATTGACATTTGTCATTTCAACCCATCAGCTCTTGTGTGCCTACCATCCTCATTTTCATTTTTTTCCCGGTTTTGTTCGAAAGAGTCAATCTTACAAGAGCACAGATAAAATGTATCTACTTATTTCATTATGGGTAGTAAGTTTAGACGTTGTATGAACAACCCTGATATGTTTTGTTACGTTTGTGGTGAATACATATTCAATAATCAGCGAAAATCGATTACAGACTCTGTGATCCGCTTGTATTTTCCTAACTACGGTATCTAAATACGGAACCAAGATAAACCGTGGGTGCCTCATAGTGCATGTGAAATGTGCATTGAACATTTGCGACAATGGGTGAAAGGAACACATAAGTGTATGAAGTTTGGAGTACCTATGATTTGGCAAGAACAAAAAAATCATCATGACGACTGTTATTTTTGTATGACCAATATAGTGGGCATCAACAAAAACAATCGACACTAATGGAAATATCCCAATGTATCTTCAGCAGAAAGACCTATTTAACCCATTCAGAAAATGATAATAATAATAATAATTTCTTTGCTTTAGATACTTAACCCAATGACAGGAAATATAAAAGAATAAGTGTTTACAATATGAAAACGAACAACGAGAACCAACGGAACTATTAACTACTAAACAACTAACCTTTGATCTTATTAACGAACTAAAACTTTTTTGAAAAGCTAGCTTGTACATATTGTTTTTGTTTTTACAAAAATTCTTTCAATAAAGTATTGTAGATGTTTTAAACGAAATGAAAATTTGCGAAAATTATTATTTTTTTTGGTTCATTTGAAGTCCGAATTCAAAAATATTCGGCCTCAAATTAGAATGTTTCAAAAATTATAAAATCGGTTTCGATTATTTTCAGAATTGATCAAAAATTTCATATTGGAAAATCGTCATTTTGAAAAAATCTAAAAATCTACAAAAAATTTTGGGATTTAGATCTGGGTGTGCTTATTCCAGAAATATAGCGTGTTCAAAGTTCCAAGGGAACATTTTACAAATATCCGGTTTGACTGTCCGACAAAATCACTTAAAAGACAATTTCTCGAACTATAAATTGAAAATAAACCGGTAGTTCTGTAAAAATGCATTTTTTTTTCTATCTCGTAAACAAGAGCTGATACAGAAAAATAAGTAGCAATTTTGATATCATTTGATAAGACATATTTAAAATCAGGTCTAAAATTCTAGGCACCAAAATGTGTGTAGGCCAGTGTAATCAATCCACAGGATTAACAAAGCGATCATAATCGTATCCATTATAGTTCTTAATGATTTATAAAAATTGAAACATTGCATTTGTCCAAATATTCTTTACTTTACAAATTTGATCTTAATGTTTAAATTTTTGTCGAAAAATTAAAGTATAAGTGAATGAATGTAGGAATTCTGATATAGACCTTCGTATTTATTGCTTAAAGTGACACTGAAACAAAGAAAAAAAATTACAATACAAAAAATAATTTGCTTGAAGTCTTCCGTGTGCCCACCTCATTTTTGGTGATGGAAATGTCTGCTACAGAACACATGCTACGCATCAAGACGACAAAGTACGTCAGTAGTTTACAGCACATTTTAAAAATGTCTAAAAGTAATAAACTTTTCACCTGATTATGTCAAGACTGCCGTAAAAAATAAATGTTCTTTCGATTGAAAGTTTTGAAGATTTATTTATTATATATATTTTTTTAATTTTAGGGAGGATGCTAGCAGTCTGGGGAGCCGCTTCTCGAAATCCTCATCCGAACGTGAAAAGATTCTGCACAGACGCAAGGAAAACCTGCTCCAAACAGCGAGAAAAAAGTACATCGAGAAGCAAAGAGCCGCAGCTGCCGCGAAAGCAGAATTACAAAGTTGAAGTATTTATTTAGTAATATTTTTTGGGATAAATCTCTTTAGACATGATATAGTTGTCCCTGATGTAACAAATTGTTAAAGTGTACATTGAAGATTCGCAGTTATAACACTGATATATTTAGATAATAATTATTATAAATGTCTAGTAATTAACCGCAAAAGTTGTTTCGATGAAATTTGGTTTGTGTTTGCGAGATAATCATTTGTTTTATTTTTGAACGCCAGGAATTCTTCAAAAACTTTAAAATGTGGGAGTGTATTCGAAAATTGTCTGTAATAGCATTTTAGGTATCAGTTTCTTTGGTTTGTTTTGTTTATGTTTTAGGATTATTAGCGGTCCCTGGTACCTAAACTGTTACGAATTCTTGTTGTAAAAAGTAATTTTGAGTTTAATTGTGTGTAGAGTAAGGTTTTCAGTCAATCCAAATTGACAAAATTAGTCATTCGAACGTGATAAAATTTTCTTTGTTCTGTTGTTTTTTTAATAGTTTATTTAAAATTATTTACTTTTATTACAGTGAATATAAAAGTTATCATTAAACAAAATGTTCCTTGAAGATAACTGAAAAAAAGATACGGTACGGTATCGTGGGCTAGTCTCATACATTGTGGATTCCACTATTCTTAAAACATCAAAATATTTCTTATCAAGCTTTGTTCAATGCACTTATGACTTACTTGAATACTTTTTCAAAATGTAGTGTACATTGTGATAAAAGACTGACTCTTGGTATTTCTGTGTGATAATTTCACTGTCTCTTTTGTGTTTACTTGTAGTGTATTTCCAGCTTTATTTGCTTTTGGTTTACTTACACGCATTTTTTACAGTTTTCAAAAATCCGGCCTGAACTTTGCGTATAACGAAATGCTCAGATTTGGAAAATCGTTAATGTTGAACATGTATTCCATACTTAAAAAAGAAGAAAAAAATAAGTGCATGTTCTCTTATTATACATAGAATTGTCTAGTTATATATTTCGATATAGGAAATACGTAATTGCCATGCAAACATATATTGTGTGCCAGATATCTAAGGGCCAAAGTTGTATATCAGATACTTATTTCACTGTACTTACGTGTCCCGTCAATCTCCTAATCTTTGTTATTGTGCTTAGTATTGCTGTATAAATAAATTATTTAAAAGGAAGAAAGGTGGTTTTAACAGTTTGGCCGAATTTCTTACAATGGTAGGACGAATCCATATATGTATACAATCATAAAACCTGAACAGGCAAAATCAGTCTTAACTACAAATAAAATAGGTACAAACAATAAAAAATCAAAAAACGGCAGTAACAGTTTTATTTACAATAACAAATATTTATCTTTTGACTTCACTTCTTATTTTTTTGTCTTTTCATATAGATGTCAAAATCCGGTTCATCTCGAATCATTTCTTCAATAGCCCGAGATGCTAAATCAGGGTTAGCCCCCGCCTTTAACAAAAAATCAAAAGTACGAAAATTGAACTCTCTCAAAGCTATCTCCAACACCGTATTATTAAAACGTTTGCTTTTTTGATTCAAGTCGACTTCTCGTTCTACTAGATACTCCACCATTGCAAAATTGTGTCGACGTACGCATTCAAATAAAGCATTTTCTCCATCACTATTTGTCGCGTTCACTTCAGCTCCACTCTTACACAAAAGTTCCACAAATTTATAACTTTTCTTTGCGGCACTGATGATAGGGTAATTTTTATTTTTATCGCATTTATTAACGTCTGCCCCTTTTTGTATTAGTTGCTTCACGACCTCTAAATTTCCACTTTCTATAGCTGCCAGTAAAGGTAACCCTTGTGGAGTAACCATGTTAAGGTCCGCACCGTTTCCAATTAGTTCATTCATAATTTCAAAATTCGGTTCCGCTTTAGTCAAACACAGAAATAATGGTGTCATCCCATTCTCGCCCAAAAAATTTACAGTAGCCCCTCGTTTTATTAATAAGCGCACTACTTCCAGATTATGTTTGTCTATTGCTCTCATTAAACCTGAGTGAATCGTGAACTGGGCCCCATTCTTTAACAAAAGCTTGATAATTTTTAAGTTTCCTGTAGATATTGCCAAGGACAGGACAGGTATCTTTGATTTGTCTCGTTGACAAGTATTTGCACCTTTTTCTATTAACAACTTCGTTGCCTGTAATTTACCTTTCTGAACGCATGACGCAAATGAGCAATTAGGATCTGCACCCATGTCAATCAGAGTTGTCGCCATTTCCATATTATTCTCATTAATAGCTCGTTCTAAACATACATCTAAGGAAGCTTTCTCCTGTAAACATTCGCTTATTTTTTTAACATCTTTTTTCTCCATGGCTTGGAACAGTATGTCGTTTATCTATAAACAAATAAAATCAAGATAAGAAATTAAATTTCTACAAAACTGGTTCCTGCAAAAAAAATTAGCAGTGGCCAGGGGCGGCTCATGACTTGAAAAATTGATGAGGCACAGCACAAAACGCTCTAAAATATAAATAAATCAAGTTTACTTAAATATTTTCTATTTAGTCAAATAAACAAATTTGTAAACTCATTTAACTGTCCACAAAGGAGGTCTTGCAAGGAAAGGATGAGAATGACAGGACAAAAGGAAAGGGAAGCGTGGTCAGAAAAAACTAATATAACTTCTAACAAAAAACAAAATTAAAATAAACTTTAAAGGAAACATATCGAAAAAGATCAAATACAACATAAAATAAAGCTAATTTGATTTATAACAAAAAACAAAATGAAAAAAATATAAAATATAAATACGGATTTATTTTAAATTTTTTTTTATGGATCAATTAACGATTTACTCAAATCAGGAACCGGCGGTTTTAATTCCTTAACTACATACAATTTATCATCATACGTGAAAGTAGAAAAAACAGAACTGCCATTGTCATTTAACGTTAGTAGAGAAAAATTCCGATTTACTCGTAATCTTAAATAACGATTACCGAAATCAAATTATGACAAGCACAAAGCACTAACGCGACCCACGCAAACGTAGGCACTTTTAAGACAAAATTCTGTTACCGAAATTTTGAATCAATTTATACACACACAGATTTGTGGCAAAACAATCAACGGCCTAATTTTGAATACTCCTGCGAATGCAGACTGCATTGCAATCGCACGTTCCCAGCGCGCAAATAATATAGTTGTCCATCTCTTTTGCAAGCACGGAAATGAGGCTAGCCTCAATTTTGTCTTTTTTCAACTCATACCGCTTATAAGTGTATTGCAGGTTGCTTGCCTATTAACGACATGATTTCTATATATGCTGTAGAGGCAAGCTTCGAGTCGGCCTCATTCGCGTCACAAAATACATGTTGTGCCGAGTGTTTAAGCGCGCTGTTTAATTAAGGGAGCAACGAGTACCTACCGAGATAAAAATAAGAATATAATTTTCTATATTTATTTTTAAAATTTTAGAAAAAAGACACAAATTATTGGCCGAAATGTGTCCGTATAAAATAATAAAAATCCTAATAAGGCGTAAAATTCATTGGTGAGGCACTGCCTCACCTGCCTCATAGGACAAGCAGTGGCGGTTTTTAACAAGACTTTTAGAGCTGCATTTATTTTTTTTTAATAATGGGCTCAACTTTGGTTTATGTGTGTTGTTAAAGTAAACTTAGTTGTTTTACTACACAAGTGTTACTGAAAACTGATGACTTTGCATTAACTAATCAGAGTCGAGGTATACGAGATGCTAAGGTGAAACTATAGTTAAAATGCAAATTGAACCTAACAAATAAAAGTACTTGTAGCAGTAGCTTTTTGTGCTAGAACAAATGTAATACGTTTAAATGGCATGTTGTAACAACTGTAAAATTACAAAATAACAGCTAGGAGAAACAAAGAGAAATAGATATCAGATTATTATCATAGTAGTAATACAGAAAAAAGTAAATTATACATACCACCCTAACACAAACATTAATACACACTTACAGCATACATCCACTTGACAAGACAAAAATTCAGATCCAGTCAGTACCTACTAACAAAATACAAGTTATGATCAACCAGTTTGTAGAGCACAATATTTATCATAAACTATGACAGACACAAAATCAAAACAAAAAGTAGCAAAGTATACTATTTATTCTGAGATAATCAATGTAGGAAATATGTATATAACAAAAGTAATCAAAGAAACCTGTCTTTCATAGCGTTTCACATCTCCACTTAACCCTGAAAGAATAAGAGATAAATTTGAGCTAGAATATATAAAATTATTATATTCACTCGCAATTTGAGTGCTACTTTCTTGGCTTTCTTTCATTTTTGATAGGTAAAGTGCCACATCTGGTTGGTTTTTGATCGTTTCGTTAATAGTTGCAGATGCTAAATTTTGATCTACCCCGCATTTCAATAAAAAATCGACCACACGAAGATCACAGTTATTTAAAGCTGTTTCCACAGCAGTGCCTCTACATGTGCTTTTTTGATTCAGATCAATTCCGTGTTCGGCGAGATATTTCACCATTTTAAAATTTTATTGATATGCGGCTTCAATTAAGGCAATTGTTCCGTGTTGGTAACAGTTTTAACAACTTGAATTTGTGCTCCGTTACAGCCCTAATGATCAGATAATTTGTGTCGTTGTCAGGTTTATTAACATCTGCTCCACTTTGTAGTAATTTTTCAGCGAGCGACAAATTTCCTCTGTTAACAGCTTTAGTAAAGGAGTCCCCTCTGGAGTAACCGTATTCACATCAGCACCACTTTCAATTAACTCGTTTACAAGTTTTAAATCAGGGTCTTTTGTTAATCTATGGTGTGGCACCATTTCTAGTTTGAAAATTGACAGAAGCTCCTTGTTTTAGTAAAAAGCGCACCATTTCCAAGTTTTCTTTCTCAATCGCTGTCATTAAACCAGAATTAATGGTGAACTGAGCACCGTGATTTAGTAAAAGTTTAACTCTTTCTATGTTTCCCTTGGGCACAGCTGACACAGAACATGCTTACTTTTCGCCTTAATATGAGAGTGCAGTGCAGATGTGTTTGCAACTTTTTCGATTAGATACTTGACCATTTCCAATTTACCCTCAAGAACGCAAATGTCGAAAACAGTTTTCATTACTTTCATATTGTCAGTATCTTTAGCTTTCTCGAGGCAAACATGTAAGAAAGCTTCATGACTTAAAGATATATCAATTTCTTTGGTGTCTTTCTTCTCCAGGGCTTTGTACAATCGGTCGTTCCACTAAAAAAAAAAGTAGCTTAATTCTTTCATTCAGCTTTTAACAACTTGTCTATGTTTTCTCTTCAGTTGGATTTGATTGAAAGAACAATATTTGTTTATTTTTTTGAATATTCGTTATAAAAATCTTTTTTTCCATTATCTTTAGCACATATGACACTAGTTTACAAACAAATATACTTTTTGGAGAGATCATAAATTTCAATTCGTATTCAGGAAAATTCTACCACGTCTGCTGTGATAATAGTCAAACTCCGTCAATTTTGATAGCATATCGTATTATTACGATGAGCGGGCGAATAAAATCGGCCTAGGTTAAAACTCAACAATTCATTTCTTACTAACTAGAATTTACACGACCAACGGCGATAAAATAATTCCGGCGCAACTTCTCTTCACTGAACTAGCTGAATTCGTTCCCAAAGGCGGCCTCTATTTAAACCCATACTTCGGCGATCCAGGTCTTTCTCGAATTGGGTATTCGCGACTTCCACTTCCAGGCTTTTCAAACACCGCTGGGCCGCATTACCAACGATGCGTCACCTGTCATTGCCGTCCGTCCTAGAAAGTTCTCGACGGTCCATAGGCGTCGCACCGGGGTGGCGTATGGGTTTATTTCGTAACATTGCCCCCTCCTTAGTTCTGATCGTCCCGATCAGAAACGTCGATGGTGTCACTGTTGTATTTCATGAGGCGGTCTAAATGAACGATCTTCATTTTCGTCTTCGGCCTTTGTCGAATTCTGTAAACGACATCGTTGATTCCCGTCACGACAGTATATGGACCTTCCAAGTCTGGTGACAACTTCGGGCAACGACCTTTCCTTCTTCGGGGATTATAAAGCCATATCAACTCCCCTGCCTGGAATCCTAATGAGTTACTCTTAAAGTCTTAGCGTGTTTTCATTCTGTCACTCGCCATCCGGATCTTGTGGCGCACCTTTTCGTGAATTCTCAGCAGCTTCTCCTTCAAGTCATCGACGTAATCTATGACCTCCTTTGGTTCTTCACTCGGAGAGCCGAACGAGATGTCACAAGGCAGACGAAATTCTCTTCCGAAAACTACCCGCGCCGGTGTCTGACCCGTCGTGTCATGGACAGCTGATCGATGAGCCAGTAGGAACAGTGGAAGCTGTCGATCCCAATCTTTCTGGTGTTCGGCCACCACCTTTGAAAAATGTCCTTCCATGGTACGATTGAACCGTTCTACCATTCCATCCGACTGCGGGTGCAACGGTGTAGTCCGTGTCTTTCGTATCCCTACTACTTTAGTAACCCTTTGGAATACGTTTGACGGTTTGGCTCGAAGTTTCTGCCTTGGTCCGAATGGAGTTCCATTGGAACCCCAAACCTGCTGATCCAGTTGTCAATCAGCGTTGTTGCAACCGTTGAGGCTTCTTGGTTACATCATTTAGTTTCCTGTAGTCTACGCAGAATCTCGTCGACCCATCTTTTTTGGTGACTAGCACTACAAGCGAAGACCATGGACTGTTTGATTCCTCTATAACGTCATCGTCCAACATTTTCCGCACAAGTTTCTCGGCCTCTTCTTGTTTTGCCAAAGGTAGTCTTCGAGAAGCTTAACAGATCGGTTGCGCATCTCCAGTGTTTATCCGATGTCGCACTATGTTTGTGCGCCCATAGGACTCCCCAGATGTAAACATTCCGCTGTGTTTCTTCTCTAGGGCAGGAATTTCTAAGTTGGTTTTTATTTCTTCATCAGTGTTGTCAGGAAGTCCTCCGTTATGATAAACTATCTTCGTGACTGCTTCACAGACGGCAAGAACCTCCCCACTCTTGATGTTCCTGGGTTTGGGAAAAACATTTGCGACGCGTACAGGTATGTCATTTTCGGTGATTAAAGTACTAACAATCATGAGATTCTTCTTGGGGGTGTGTGGTGGTTGAATAATGCCGAAGCCAAATCCGGGTTCGATTTCTGCTCTAACTGGAACAATCGTCTCTGCATTCCTTCTGACTTTGACATTCTGGTACACGATCAATCTTACAGGCTTGGATTCAATACTGCGTTGATTCAGGATAAACTCTTCATTGCCAAAACGTAGGACTTTCTCCACTGGATCGACCGTCAATCCATGGCGGCTAATCAAATCCATTCCCAGAATGAAGTCATCTTCGATG